TTCTATGATTCTATGATTCATATTTGAATTTACAGTAATTCCTAAGCAACATATATGTTCAAAGTTTTCACTGGTTACATTCAACATACCTTCCAAGGCAGATGCCTGTAAGGGTGTGGTTTGTACTGGTGGTGCCTCATTCCAACTGTTCACAAGAGGAGTCTTTGGAGCAGGAATTGCAAAGGGGATTTCATTTCTTAGAGCTAACTCTGTATCAACATTCTCTTTGTTTTCATGCTTCTTTGATGCCACGTTTCTTTCCACTGGAGTTGACAGTGTGAAGTCCATACCATCTAGTTGAGCATCATGCCTTGAATGCTATGAGATGTAAAAAAGAGAGTCATGCTTTGCTGTATTATGATCACATTCAGACATGTTACAGACAAGGAAATTCTAAAATTGAAGGAGGTCAAAAAATACCATACAATGCTTGGCTATTATGCAAAATAGTTTAACACTTTTCAGTCCTTCTGATTCCCTATATAACTTGCTGAACAACATCTCAGGTCATTTGCCATGTCTTTATCTGCTCTTCTAAACTCTTCAGCTCACACGTTTGACTTCCTCACCAGCTCATTTCAAATCAAATGAGAATTCTTAGCTCTGTTAAAATTATATAGTTGAATTCTTAACTATATAATTTTAACAGAGCTAACTGCTTCATCGTATTTTCCTGTCCAATAGAGAAAGGTTTCACTTCTTCAAAGACCTGTCCTGCTCTAGCCTAGCTCAGAGATCTTGTTTGCTGTACCTATTTGTTTCCCCACCAGTTCTAAAACCCTCATTGCCTCATCTACTCATTCCCTAGATGCTGTTCTTATGCAAATCAAATGTCAAAGCTCAAGTTCTCATCGTATGAATCATGACCTACAGGTAGAGGAAGGCACAATTTATGTTCAGCTATATATTTAAAAAACAACTTCTTTACTCAGTTTATAACTCCCCTTGGCCGGAGTCCCCCAAAAATTTAGAGATGTAGTAAGTATTATGTATAACAACATTTTTTGATTAAGAATAGTTTTGGGTTGTTTTTTTTTAAAGGAACCGGTATTTATTTTTCAGACACCTTTGTTCTGTGAGAATTTAGAAAAAACTCTTCTAACGAAGACTGCTCAAGCAGTGAATCTGTATCAGAAAATTCCATGGATCCAAACGCATGAGGCACTTCACTGCAGTCTGGCATGTCTTCATATGTCACAGGTTTTTCAGACTGAAAAAAAATAATCAGTTGACATGCCACTACATGATTAAAAGGAAGACTTCATCAGAAAAGCATCATTAAAATCTAAATCTTATTTCTTACTAAGTTCCTAATTATGGTTAACACCAAACAGAAGTTCCCATGCCAGTGACCTGAGTTTTACAACATGACTTTAATATTGTCAGTGTGGATTTCTCATTTGTACCAAAAGCAGATGCAAAATTACTCTCAAAGCACAATTAACAAGTCATCTTTCCTGACCTGTGTCAAAAAGAGAAGGAACTCAAAAGTTACATGACTTTGATTTCAAGATATGGACCACAAGATAAACTGGCAAAAACCCCAGCGAAGAATGCAGTGAAGTCTGGAAGGGGGCAGCATAAAGGTAAACACATGACATCCAAAACAGATGATTACAGAATCTGCAACAGTACTTGAACTAGCATTCAGAACCCTTCACCTAACTGCTAGCCCTGAAAAAAGCTGGTTTTTATTGTATCACAGGATTCACTACTTCAGTCAAGACTTCATGGCTCAGACCACCTGCAATCAGAGGTATATTACAGCATCCTTAGTTTACAACACCTTTTGTTATTTTCAAGAAGCTATTCACAATGACTTGTTTCATACCCCTTCAGTGAAATTGCATAGTTATTTTCAATTATCAGTAGTTATCAGCTAGGTTGGATGCCATTTTAGGAAGTTACGTTCTGCTGGCAGGTAAGTTTATCTTGGCCTATGATCAAGGATGTTGCAATGATCAGATCTCTCATTGCTACTGGAATAGAAACAGAGCTTTCTGGTATGGTACCAGACCTACTGTGATGACTTACTAAAAAGGCCTTACGAAAGGGCTGCTAGCTACAGTCAGGAAGCTAACAGCCCAGTACTGTAGTTGAAATCATGTTCCATTATAATCATTCATACTGGAATGCCTGAATAGGATCCCTCAGCTACTGTGTTCCAGATGAAATTCATGCCATGGTAAATTTTTTGGAATATCCTTCTGCAAACTCTTTAAAATAGGGCAGTATGACATACAAGCTTGTGTTACCAAATTCAGAAGCTAGTTAAGTTAAAGGTTCTGTTTGCTTGGTTGTCTTCACATTAGACCAGCTGTAAGTAAAGAACTTTGCTAGTTGGGTATTTCAGAAAATTCAGTTGATATTCACTCAGAGTATCTACAGGCAGATAAGTTAAATGTGTCCCGAGTGCAGTAGGAGGACTAGTGGATTGTTGTGCTGAGTAGACATGATTTTCACATTCATGTGTGAAGGTATAATGCATATGTTAAATATTAACAGATCAATTTACATAAGACACCACTAGAGACCAAGTAACTTCACAGCATCAGCACCACTGAACCTAGAGAATCACCTTAAAATGACCTGATGAGCTGGGTTCAGTCAGGAAAGCATTAACTCTCTTTACCCTGGCTGCTAAGAAGCTGTGTTCCTGGATGCAGAGAGAAGCACTGATAAGTTCTTAGATGGCACTGGGGAATGCCTGCACTAAATTCAAGGTCTTTCTCTGCTTCTGATACTGCAGCTGCGTTCCCAGCTCTCGCTGTCTCACTACAGGCAGTGCGGGGGACACAGTTCAGGCAGCTGACCCAGGCTGACCAAGGAAGTATTTCATTCCATAGTATGTCATGCTCAGGGCAGAGGTGAGGAGGGGTTCTGGGAGCCATTATTCTCCTTTCTACTTTCTCTTGTTCACTCCCGTACACTTGCTAACACTCTCCCTGACTCCTGCGTTAGCTGCTTTGCTAACTCCTGTGTCGGCTTTTTCATGAGGGGTTTGGTGGGTTTGTTTAGTTTTCCCAGTTGTGCTATTGCTGATAGGGTTTGCTCAGAATCTGCTGCGATAGTTCTTGGGTTCTGGCCCTTGGGCTGTGGCCCTCACTACTCAACACCTGATTGTGTCCACTGGTAATCTTAGAATTCTCATCTGCTTTGCAGAGCAGTTGTGCAAGTGAACTGAGTTGATTTACATGCAATTGAATCAGATACAGGAAGTATTGCGAGTGCTTGTGTCTGTGGAGAAGAGCACATTTCACAGAGCTAGCTAACAACTTCATACAGATGTCTACAGTTCAAAGGGGAAGTCTGCAATTTTACTGAATGCTTTTGAGTTTGTAAATATAAACAAGTATCACTGACAACACACAAAGCTGCATATCATATATGATATTGCAAGCAATTTAACAGCTTTAGACAAGTTGTGAAGTGCCCTATTTGTACTTTGATACCAAAATACAGGAACAGAAATTACTGTAAGATATATAAAACCACCTGAGAATCCAGTTCATCAGTAAGACATCAGCAACCTGTTTCCTTTACAAAAAAATAGGAAGAATCCTCTCTGGGTTTGTTTTCTAAAGGGCAACAGAGAAGGAAGGAATGGGTCTCTCAGCTTTGACCATCAGCTCATGTAGTGTCCACATCATGTCAAAGTAAGCTGCACAGATGATGTGCCAGGATGTTTCAGACTTTCCTTACTAAGCTATGTTAAATACAACCAGCAAGATGCAAAAATATTTAGAGGCAAACAGCAAAGAGTCCAGTAAGAAGCTCAGCAACACAGAGGAAAATCTAGAATGATCACGTAGGCCAGGAAAAGGAGCAACTTCAGTCCATTTCTGTGAACAGCCAAGGGTGAGTCTGTGCGGCACTCAGAATGCACCACATCTTCACGGATACTTAGTCCGGTAATGTCAATTCATAGAGGGAGTCCAGCTTGCTAAAACGTGTTAATGAGGAGACTGAACTGCTTAATGACCAAGACTTTTTCTCACTGCACACATGCTCTCTTACTGATGTTCAGTGCACCAGTCTTATCCCAGGAAGAGCTTCGTTCATGCAGAGCAGCATTTTAATCACTATGTTGTCCTGTTAAATTAAAAACTTACCTCGAGGCCTGATGACTGTGTTGTACTGGCATGCCCAGTTAGACATGGAACCCTTAAGCAAACATGCTTGCCACGAGCCTTCTTAGACTGAAGCAGAAGATATGTGGCTGACATTTGGTCATATTTCCACTTAGGGGGTAAGAGGAAAAGGAGGGGGGAAAAAAAAAAAAAGTATTTTATCTCCTCTTTGGAAACATTGCAAATACAAAGCAAAACACAGCCTTCTGAAGATTTCTTTATTTCTGCAAGTTTTTCTACCTGACATGCATCCCTAATCCTTGATCACTTAAGTGTAATTTCAGACTTCAGCTGATTCACATTATGTGCTTGAGATCCAGAAAAAGAATGGTGGTTGCTCTTTGCAAGTTAGTTTGTAGTACACTCATATGCTCACTAGCATGAAAACTAACACTGGGGCCAGAATCTACCCAATGAAGTGAACACAAAGCTGATATTTCAACAAGGGTCACATTTTTTTTGGAAGTCCCCACAAGCGGCACCAAATGTTTACATGATTTTCAGCAGCTCTGCTTGTGTGAGGAACATGAGCAGGACGCTTGACAGGTTTGCAGCATAGCATAATGAATTTGAATTAGTTATAAGGGATAGGAAATCCTCCAGTGAAGGACTATGCAAATGCGCCAAACCCATTTGAAGGTTTTTCCATGTGTAGACAGATTATTCAGACTATTTCCTGTAACTGAAGAACAAGTAACATTAACTCCACAATTCCATCTTAAGTATTGCATACCTTTTAAGGCTGTTTCTACTACAGTTACGTAGAAAACCTAACAGTTCTTGCAAACCAAAAAACTACATTGCTGTCACCACGTACAAGAAATCAAGAAATTCAATATTAAGGGAGAATTTTTAGATTCAGGTTAAAGCTGGAGCATGCGTCATATTTTAAGTCTCTTCTACAGTTTGCAATGTCATTGCTGATTTGTATAATCCTAGATGTAGTTAGTTCAATTTTTGTCATTTGTATTCAAACGTGACTAAACATGCTCACTTCTTTAAAAAACGTGTGTAGTAATTCAAAAAAAGTCTGCCTGGGTGATGCTCTGATATTTCTTAGTCTTTTTGTTTTTTGCCCCCTCTTACTTACTGAGCCATTTCAAAGCAAAGAGTTAACCCAGCAAATGGCATCAGTTCAACTATAAATTTCTGTAAGTCTTTTGACTTTAAAAGATTCAGAAGGATTTTTACAGTGGTGGAAAATAACACTAAGGTTTAGGAAACATCACAAGCACAGTTAAAGGAGAAAAAGCTAAACAACTTCAGAACCGTAGTTACAAGCTACAGCTAGATTCTGTCTGGACTTTTGCAGGGGCTCCTTAAATTTGAAAAGTATAAAAAAATGTCATGCTTCAGAATAAGCGAGCACTAGTCTCTTAATACAGTAAACTTATTTACTGTACTACTGTGCTTAATTAATGCAAATTACTGATATGTACTTCTTACCTCTGATATCAATTTCAATATGGTCTCTGCACTCTGTTTATGAAACACAGAAAGCTCTGTTATGCAGTCTTCATCAAGATGTCCCAGCTGCAAGAACACAACAGATATTGAAGCATAAGGCTTTCGAGTTGTCTCATAATCCGACTGACACTGTTGTGAAACCCAGTGGGCTGAGTCAATAATCAACCATGATTTTAGACGTTGTATTTTAAATAGTTAGCATCATAGCTAAATATTATAGGGAATTGACTGAAAAAGTCATACAAGTTCAACGATTCCAAGAGTCTGGCTCTTCTTTGGCAAGAGGTTGTCAATTCAAGTAAGAAAACCTGACAGCAGATGAGATTTTTACCAGAATGGAAGGTAGCTTTCAATATTCAAGGAGAGATGAAAGCATATCAGAGATGCACCTTTCCTGGAGCCAGTCGAACTCATGCTGGCAGCACAGTAAAGCTGTTCTTTACCTAGAGAGAGAGTGGCATCCAGTGGCCAAGGCAGGCATTGGCCGCAAACATGCATAAACTCTTCAGTACTTACTGCTGAAAGCTAGATTACTTCATTTTTGGAAGGTTTTCCTCTTCATGCTACCTTAGTCTTTCAGTAAAACAAGTGTGAGAGACAGGATGGAAATACTTTCAAATTTATTTATTCAAACTAGAAGACTAAATACAAGATAAATCATAATCATGTCTAATATGCTGTAGTGGTTTGACCCTCCTCAACTAAGCACCACAGAGTTGCTTGCTCACGTTCACGTTCCCCTCCTCAGTAGAAAGGGAAGCGAATGGCAGAAACATAAGAGAACTTGTGGGCTGAGACAAGAACAGTTTAATAATTTAAATGAAATAAAGTTATATGTATAACACTAACAATACTAACATTACTACTAATAATAAGTAATAAAAATAATGGAAGAGAAAACAAATTACACAACCGCCCAACACCTGCCGACTGACAGCCAACCAGTCTCCAAGCAACAAGAGCCAGATTTTGAGAAAAAAAATCCCCCACAAGCAAGACCCCCAATCCACTCCCTCCAGCTTATATACCGAGCATGACATTTCATGCCACCGCATGTCAGCTTGGGTCAGCTGTCTGGGCTGTGTCCTCTCCCAGCTTCTCTATAAGAAGCTGGGAACACAGGGGCAGAAGCAGCAGAAACCAAAAAACTGCCTTGATATAAACATTCCTTAGCAACAACTGAAAACAACAGTGTTTTATCAATGTTGTTCTCAGCACAAATCCAAAACAGTCTCATATTATCTACTGTGAGGAAAATTAACCCTATCCCAACTAAAATCAGCACACGTGCACTTAAGAATATTTGCAATTTGCACCTTAAGTTATTGACCAAGCAGCCTGGAGAATCAACTGGTCATTCATATGCGGAAATACTTCTCATCAAAATGTGACATCAGTTATTTTGCAAATCAAGCATCAGCTGCAGAATACAAGGAATTTGAAATACCTCCTCAAGAGAAATCAAGACAAACTAATATTCTGACAGCAAGAAAAATTTGAAAGGAACCATGGCCATCTCATAGTTCATCTTTGGAGGAATGTCTCTTCAGCCCCACCCCCCCCCGAATACCGTAGTAAGCCAGTAAAGATTACAGTAAATATTTTAGCATTCACCTGACAATTGTACTTACTGGGTATATACTTTGCCACTGAACAGCATCAGAGTAACCTTGCATGAGCCACGGGTGACTTAAGAGATGTTTAACCGTAATCCGCTTCTTGGGGTCCACCTAGACAATAAAAGTCAAGCTGACACCTGAGTCATGGGGCAGTACTGGTTTTGTTGTCTTCTCAGAATTTTAGGGTGGTTAGAAACTCAAAACAGAAACCAATACTGTTTCACAGGTTCATCAAAAGGTCAAACATATGAGCTCTGAAGAGCAATTATAGAACCTATAGGTACAATAAAGGGTCCAGGAGCATTTGGCATTGGCTAGATTGATTATATGTAGCCCAAATGGATATTCAGTGTGTTTAGCTTCATTTATAAACTAGTTCTTATTTATAGAGCACAATTAAAACCAACAAAACACAGGGTGCTTGAAGCCTTTGTTTAATTATTTCTAGACCAAATCATTCTGCTCAAAGAATTTTGAGCAGAAGGCAATATTAATCTTTTCTTCAAAAGTTTGTAAGAATTAAACTTCTTTAAATATTGAATATTTAAGTATTTCATGGATGCAATGTTCTCACCTATGCAACAGTACTTTATGTAACTATTGAATAGAAGCAATACCTTTACCTGCAGCATTTGGTTAAGCAGTAGCGTACTGCTAGGAGAGAGCCACTTTGGAATACTGTATTTTCCTCTCTGCAGAAAAGAAGAGGATTTAGAATGAACTTTGAACAACCAGCTCAAAAGGAACTACTAAATTACTTGGATGAGAATGACATGTGTATTCAGTCAAAAAGGAGGAACAGCAGGCACATGCAAACTTAGCTGCAAGAATGACCTGAATAAATTTAATGGCAGTACTAAAACCCAGCTGTATTAGTAAGGAAAATGCTATATTTGCATTATCAGCTGCAGTTTTCACCCACTCAGCTTTTGTCAAATCTCAGTCCACTTTTGCAGCAGGTGCTCCTTACCTATTGCATCATTTCATATCAGCTTGATATTTAAGTTTTAGAAATGCAAACATGTTGGAACATAAAGGACTGATATTAGCACTTTGAAATGTGAATATTCATTGAAATCACTGCTTTCCAGCCATTAAAAATAAACCATCCTCAACATTTAGCTATTCTTTCTTTGAGTAGGTTACTTCTAACGCTGGAGTTTCAATCTCTAATCATACTGTAGACAGGAAAATGGTTACAGATCTAACAAGTAAGTTTCTTTCAACCACATTTTTTTTTTTTTTAATTCTTGCTTAGAAATAACCTCAAAGTGGCTTTCAGATTTGAGGTACAACAGTAGCTAAAAACAAACCAAGTCACCACCAAGGATCTTTTACTTCTCAATGAATTTTTTTTTTTTTTTTTAAATCAGGAAACAGCCACTGTGAAATAACACAACCATTCACTTGTCAGTAGTTTCCCTTCTGCAAGAAAATGCCTCAATAACAAAACAGTTAATATCGTATGCAACATGTTTCTAAGCAGAGTATATATTGTTTTGACACCACAGGTTAAAGAATTTAAGTTACATCTTTACAGACACTATTCATGAGCTACTTAGAAAGAATTTGTAGGCTATTTCACAACTCAGCCTCACTCTAAAACTAAGACAAGTCAAGTAACATATACTCCGCATTGTGCTTTTAATATGTTGCTACAGAACATGAGACAAGGAAAAAACCAAATTACTATCTACCTGACTGAGAGTAATGCTGGAAGATAAATAGCTTGCAACACTGCAACACTTACCAGATACAAAAAAAATCACACCAGGATTTAATCTTTGTTTGTTTGTTTTTGGGTTTTTTTGTTTTGTTTTGTTTACATAAGTTACATCACATGCTTGATTTTTCATTCAAAAATTAAAGGCATTTATTCAATTATTCCCAAGTGATGTGGAACATTCCAGGGAAAGAAGCATTGCATGTCATACAATCCTGAGCAGCAGACTATTACATTGATTTGGAACAACAGTTCCGAGTTGAAATTACAACAAATTTCAGGATATATAATGTGTGAAATTAAATTGCACAGTAGTGTGGAAGTGTCTTGTTTCAAGCAATTTTCAGTTCACAACTACATAAAATTAAAACAAAGTCAGAGTGGAAATAACAATCCTGCGTCTTAATGTCTGTGGCATTATTCGTTTCTAATTACATCCAGACTAAGTTTTAAAACTTATTTGTCTAAGTTTCACTCGCCAACATTCTGCCAGTCCAAGCAACTCAGCTCCTAGTTCACGTGCACTTTAGACTATAATGATGCAGAAATCAGCTCTGATTATCTTAAGATCTCCATTCCATATTCAAGTGCTCTGTCCACATTTCAACTACTGATAAGTTTAAGAGAATGAATACCTTAGATAATTCACCAGCTTCTGCATCTTGGTGTAATGCCTAGCATAAAGCATTTTCTCTCATCCTACAAAAGTATGCTTATAAATGGACAAGTTCTCAATGTAAACTATCCTTATGGGTAGACAACACAGTACACACCAAATACAGATCCTTATGGATCCCTTCCAACACGAGATATTCTATGATTATGCAAGTAGGAAAGTCATATCATTTCAGTGGTGACTCACCTGAATATCAGCACCTTTACACACTCTTTGGATCAGTTAGCCATTGCTTTCTCCATCCCCCCACCACTTTTTTTTTAAAAAAGTTCTTTACAACAACTCAAACTGAGTTTCCCACAGTTCTTTGCCAAGGTACTGAAGCCCACTCCAATTCCAGATTAAAAAAGACCAAGCTGTTTAATGAACTAATCCAGCACTGTATAGAGCTCCAATTGTTATGCACCCTGAAAGTCCTCCCAGTGTAGATGAGCAGCAAGTTGCCTCCTACTAGAATAGAGCCTGAACACCCTTACGGACTTTTTGGGGTTTTTTTGTTTGTGTGTTTTGGGGGTTTGTTTGTTTGTATTTGTTTTGGGTTGGGTTTTTTTTTTTTCTTTTTTTAAGACCTATTAGATTCTGGGTGAGAAGGAGAAAGAAGTAGAGGAAGCCAAAACCCTTACCCACCATAGCTACTCATCTCACTTGTTTACCGGAAGCTTTAACAACATAAATTTTATGGCACCTTAAAAGCAGTTGGTAGAGGTGTGTGGAAGATGTGGGACAGCAGCTGTTAGCTGCACTAGGAGGAATTCACATGGAAATAGAACCAATTGCTGAATTCTATTACTTGCTACTTATTCAACTTTCTGTTGATTATCGCATGTCACATTTCCTCCAAATTTTGAAGGAGGAAAGCATAATGGCAGATGCAGAATACTGCTTTTCTTAGATACAAGAATTTAAGAACATTATTTTTGATAAATAAATTACATTTGCAAATTTATTCCATACAATACAGAGAGAAGTCAGATAAAGGCTCAGATACAAATATCTAGTCCAACAGCAAGAAAATACTTCTCCTGAAACGCAATTTCCTATCATATCATAGGAGCAAGTTAGAGTCATGGAAAGGCTGTTTGAAGACTGAAACAAATCCACAAAATATCGATATGGAAAATAGCAAAGTGTAACAAAATTCAGTAGATAAGCCTCTTTGTACTAGACACAGCTCAACAGGTTCTGCCATCAGAAAAGCAAAGGCCTCTCAGTGTTTGGCAATTTCTGTTTCTAGTGTATTCTAGCACCATCAGTACCTACCATTATCTTCCTGTAGAGAGCCATGACATTGTCGTCATCAAAGGGGAGAAAGCCACACAGTAGAGCATACAGTAGTACCCCCATGCTCCATATATCTGCCTAAAAAATAAAAATGAGCGGAAGTTCATGAACCTGTTGAATCTAAAATAGCTTAGAGACAGGTAATATTGTCCCCCCTTTGGCAAAGCCGACATAAAACTTTCAAAATGTAGGCTCCTTAATTCTGGACAGAACACATATTCCAAGTGAAAGCACACAACCCAAACTCAATTTTCAGTTCACTCAGACTAGAGCACTAGTAAAACCAGTATCATCTCCTTAGGTCACCAAATTGCTGCATTACCTTCAATCTACAAGGATTTTACTGGCAAAAATGAAATCCAACTCATCAGAAGGGATTTCATACAGTAATGTATTACTGATTGCAACAGCTGTCAGCACAGTTATAATCAACTTCAAAGACCTATTTCTTCTTGTCTGCTTGTACAGCGTGACAAGGTCCACAAGCCTCATATCACCTCATAGTTTAATTCCCATTTAGACCATTAAAAAAGAAGAGGCTTGAAAAGCACTGGATTTCATGAAAAACAAAATTAAAAAAATCAAAAGCAGGAGTTGGAGGACAGTGGTACAAAGGTACACAAAAGGGAAAAAAGGCTGACCTCATCCAACACCGCAGCAGTTCAGCAAGTTTGAGAGGATTGCAATTACAGCACTTTGGATGGACTGACAAAGGCAAGTCGCAGGTCCTAATGTTTTAGGCATGGAGTCAAAGCTGGATAAACTCCATGTTTTTTCTCCTCTCAAACTTTACTACACTGCACAGTACAAAGACAGCAAATTTTCACACATGAATTTCAAGCTAAAGACAGGCCTGGTAAGATACAATATAAGTAGTATATAGTATTATAGCAGTAGTATCTTATATAGTAGTAAATACTATATAAGATACTGAGACTGCACAAAAATTTGCAACAGGAGTTGGATAATCACAAGAAACTGCTGCTTGAAACAACGTGCAGTAGCAGGTATGAGTTTAAGTTACTGTTTCATAGGGCACTAAAATATGGATCAACAAATGTGCTTAGTGAAGCATTAGTCCAAGATGAGCTAGCCAGCTACATGAGCTGTGGGGAAGAGCATCATGTGCTATTCCAGTCTGTGATGTTGAGGCTACCACACAGCTTCCGACAACTACCTGGGCAAGGTATACAGCAGCATTTGAGAAAGAAACCAAGTGAGCATAGCTGAACCTGATCACCTTTAAACACACAGGGTGTAGGGGGGACACCCTATCCCAAAACTGGGCCACGTACCTCTGAGCCAATATATGCTTTGCCCTGAATCAGCTCTGGTGCTGCATAAGCTGGGCTTCCACAGCATGTGTTCAGATGGTAATCAAGGCCACCCTAGAACAACATAGAAAAGCAATCACACAGAAGCATTGGCTTTAACACAGTTTAAGTCTTCCAGTAATGAGTAACTGGAGGCCTCAGAGGCTTCATTCTCCTGTGCTGTACATCTACATTCACCTTATACTTTGCTTTGGTACAGTGCATGTCTTCACTAGGCAAAAATTGTCTGAAGACCATGAGTATCTTATGAACATTAGGATCCCAGGCTGCTCATTTATTTATTATCACAGTTTTCTTGCAGCTCCTCCTCTGATAATACTACTTCCCTTTGCAACTGCAAAGAGAAGAGTGGTGGAACTTGGGGAGAAGTGATCCAAGAGCTACTGGTCATGAAGCTGGCTGGTTATATATGCCAATATTTAACACAATAACTTCATGAAGAACCACTAGAATTACTTAGTTATTAAAATCATGTTATTACTTTGTCTGGGCTTTCTCCTAAGCAGATTAGAATAAGATGACATTCTACCACCAAGACAGTGGTCTAATAGTCTTGATTGCTTGCAAGGTGTTCTAACTTGAGTCAAGTAAAATGTTCTGAGCAAATGTAACTCTATTTGGATTAGTAAAATCTTCTTCCAATTAAGTTGTTTAAGATCACCGACCTTGCATGTAAAGCTGACAAATAGAACAGACTCCTAGAAATCAATTTTAAACAGCTTAGTACCGGCACACTGAAACAGAGGATTTGTAAATGTAACTGGAATAAACTATCTGATTCAATCCACAATCTCCACATACATACAAATCTTCTCAAAAGAGCAATACACCATTGAAACTTATTAGGGAAAAATGCACACCACCATAAGCTTTATATTACAGGACTTATATACGTGACAGCTGGTGTTACACATACAAGATGATCTTTGCCTTAGATTTCATAAGATGAAGTGTAAGAGGAGAAAACAATCTAAACAGCCTGGTCACAACACGCAGTTAACTGCTCTCTCAAACAGTTAAGACCCTACCAAGTAATTATTGATTGAATGACAACCAGGCAAACAGCATGATTTTAGGGTCTGTGAGCAAGTCAAACATTCCTTATGTATGTGCAGTAGCTGATTTAGCTCCACTGTGTGAAAGTAACTGATACTCTTACCTTTGGCTTCGCGCACAGTCCAAAGTCTATCAGCTTCAAATTATGCTCCTCGTCGATCAGCAGATTTTCCTGGTTAAAAAAAAAAAGTGGTAATAAATACTTCTACAACCTAAATATCCAAGGAACTACATTTTCTTTCTTTTATTTCTTATCATAAGCAGCTAGAATTTATCTAAAGCTCTCCTCTTGAGATTTTGATTGGTTGCTAATGAATATGTTCCATATCACAGATAGGGAATACTAGTTCCTATCTGCTAAGAAAGGCCCTGGGGCCAGGGGTGATATACAGCAATCTGATCTTCAGTGAGCAGTCTGCTCTGACAGAAAAGGCAGCCAGCAACACCATGGACTGTAGGAAAAGGAGCATAGCTAGCAGACTGGGAGAAGTAACTCTAACCTTCCGTTCAGCCCAGCTAGAACAGAGCATCTAGTTTCTGCTCACCCAGTACAGGAAAGACCTCCAGCTGAAGTATGATCAGAGGATGGTCTCCAGTCTGCTCAGGGGGCTGCAGCACGTGAGCAGAGGGTGAGGAAAAGAAATTTGTTCAGCCTGTATACCAGAAAGATTCCATGATAACCTCATGGGCAGCCTTTTAATACCTACAAGGAAGGCATGAAGACAGAGCTGTTCTCTTTACAACAGCACATAGTGGAGTAAGGACAGATCACAGGCATCATGAGACATTCAGACTGGAAATAAGGAAAAGCCTGTCTCCTTATAAGGACAGGTTGCCCAGAGAGACTGCCCTGCCTCATCCTTGGAAAAGGTCAGAGGTGTGACTGAATAAAGCCCCAAGAAGCTTGGTCTGACCCTGCTTTGAGCAGGAGGTTCAAGCAGAAGCCTCTAGCAGTCACTCCCCACCCAAGTTATCACATGAATCCCTCAACTCTCCAGCTACAGGCTCACTCTTCCCAAAAAGAGACATACAGTGCTTCATCTGGGGAGAAGTTCTTTGCAGACAGAGACTGCATGAGCTGTCTAGGAAAATGCTTGCGCACTTAAGAATTTAGTTCTCAGAACTAAATTATCTTAGATCTCTGTTCTCAGAGATTGCAGCAACTCAAAAATGCACATTTCTAACCCCTTCAAGGAGAAGCAGACTCAAAACCATTCCCTAAACATGCTTAAACTCTGCAATGACAGCAAAGCCACAGGATGGGTCCAGTAATATGCCCCTTCCCCTACACCCTCTATCTAGGGATCATTGTTCAAACCATTGGTGTTGAATTTTCCTTTGAGCATGAAAACAGAATAGTTTGAAGAAGAGTGGCACAATATAGACTCTCTTCAGGTAGAAGCTGGAATAAAGGGGATAACAAAAACATATAAGCAACACTCAGTCAAATCCATGTCTCTGCTCCACTGCCAGCTTGAGTGTGTTGATCAGCTTCTCTTGCAGAGGAAGGTCCTTCTTCAGATATGAGGAACTAGTAGCAAGGATAAATAATGCTCTTTCAGAAGATGTTATATAAAGAGCTCTAAAGGACAAAATAATGGAGAAGGCATAACTTACTCCGGCTCCTAGTGGAGAAAAAAAAAAGTGGCTGTTCATTATCGTTTATGCATATCTGACTACTGTTCAGGCTTACTGGTTTGAGATCCCTGTGGGCATAGCCTTGACTGTGAACATAAGCAATTGCTGAAACAATCTGGCGAAAAAACACACGAGCTTCCTCTTCTGAAAGGCGGTCCTTAGAAATTATGTAATCAAACAGCTCTCCTCCAGAACAGTACTACAATAAGACAGGAAGAAGAAAATATGTTTAGAATACAGTAACAAAACCTAAACGACAAGAGCACTGGATAGCAACTAGAGAATGCTCTTCCATTTCCTCTGCTTTATCACAGCAGTGCCCAAGTGCCCCCTAAAGCGTGCCCTCAGTCAGCACTGCAGCAGAGCAGACAAGCTGAGAAGCCTGACTCTTGCCTGACACCTTGTAACAGATACATCACACTAATATCCTAGGCGACACAGATTGCCCCAGAGGTGACAACCACGCAGGAGTTAGTCTCACGTATCCTGCTGATGCTATTTTAAAATAACTGAAGCGCAAGGTAAGAATTAGTTATTTCACTTATTGTCAAACAAGAAGATTGGCTTTTACAACAGAGAGGGTATTACCAGCTTGATTCTCATTGTTGAGATAACTTTTAAAAAATTGTTTAATTTGAACTCTGTTGTCATCTGCCACTACAGCTAAAATCAGGAATCTTCACCATGGCAGAAACATATTTTCTTACCTCTAAAACCATGAATATTTTCTTGGATGTTTCTATCACATGATACAACTGGCAAATATGCTGGTGATTTAAGTTCTTCATGGCATCGATTTCTATTTTAACACGAGGCAAGTCATCCTAGAAGACAAAATAGCAAGTTTTGAAATTGCTGGCTACTTTGGCAGTCTGTATATCACAGCAAGCATCAGATTGTTGTGCAACACGAAGTTTTCCAGCACATATACAACATCATACAACTCAACTGATCCTATTCAAACCAAACAGCTCTGCCACCACTCCTCTACAATTCTGGCACACTGACCAGCAAAACCCAGAGGGCCAAGTGTACAATAGGTACTATTCTCATCAGCATTCTGTTTGAAATACTGTAATAACCCTTACTTCCTCAGTTTTACAGCCCAAGAATGTTGATCCCTCCACAAGAGGGCATAAGATCTGTAGTTTTCTGTTCAGATGTCTACAGCCAACAAGACAAGCAGGCAGCACCTGGACGTATTGCACCTCTGTGTTCTAGAGAACTCCAGAAGAACAGCAGAAGATGATACCAACTTTTAAGTATGTTTCCACTTACCCCGAGAGCAAGTTTGTCCATGACTTTTATTGCAACTTTTTCACCAGTGAGAAGATGTTGCGCAAGTTTTACCTTTGCAAACCCACCTAGAAGTCAAAAAAGAGATGTTTAAAGGTTAGTGTCATGACATGGTATCTTGCCTATGATCTCTCAGTTACGCTGGAAGACATTGCATGCCCACTGTGCAGTGTCTGCATGACAGGAAGAAGTGATCACTGCTACCAACTTCCAATTACAATTTCAGACTTCTGCACCGCAAAACACAAGCTTAAAACATGACCTAACTGCAGAAACAGTTAATCAATACTCAGCTAAGCGAGGAGTCAGATCGGCCAGATATGTTTGCATTCACAGACTAAGCCTACCTGTTCCAATTGTTTCGCGTAATTCATAGTACTTGAAAATTTCCTCGTAGTCACCTACAGCCATTCTGAGAGGAATAGCGTTCCTACAATTCTCAGCACCTGCAAGAAAAAAAAAAAGCAAACCCGTAGTCAATGTTCACGCTTCTCCACTCTGGACAGACTCGTAGGAACAGAAAGCACATTTACTGCCCCTCTGGTGGGGGCGGGGCCCGACCTGATTTCATTACCAAGCGCTACACACCGCTAAGGTGCATTCCTCGTCCAGTAAGACTAAACGCCCGTAACAGCACAAATCTCTGCGGTCTTTCACGAGCTCCTCGCAAAAATTAGCAGCGAGAACGAGCGACTGCTTTGCCGAAGCAGCGATAACGCCTCCGTGAGTTTCCTCCCCGGCACAACGACTAAGACCCCGGAGAACGCCACAGCGGCCGTCTCCTTTCGTTGGCTGCGCCCAGGCGGTAGCCCAGGGAAGAGCCAGCTCGAA